TTCGCTTTGTGGTAGCAATACATTTTGAACTTGTAAAAACCTGCACATAATGATATACCAGTATCATCTTGTTACAAGCATACGCTCAGTCTCAGAGCAAAGATCTTAATAATTTTAAAGATGTCCCAATATAAATAATAAATTTACAAAAATCAATGTCAAGTAAGTAGGGGGTATACCTAAAACCATAAAACATGGCAAGGGTTCTACGACATTGGTTTTGTGCAGATATTTATAACTTAAATATCTGAACATAACCAATATTAATAGAATGTAACCGATAAGGAATGAATTTGCTATTTTCTAGAATGATGGTGATCCTCCATTCTCAAGGACACAACCGCACCCTCCAAATTCAGCTGATGTGACATAAGATTATACATTGTCTGTAAAGAATATATTCTCGACATGGTCCTAATAAGTTATATAACAATCTTCATAACAACTTATGTTTTGCTTTAAGCTTATTATTAAAATAATGCAACTTTTTGAAAAATTGTATTCAAAACTTAAAAATTCTAACATCTATAATTATATATTTATTTCATATTTACGTATGACGGGAGTCCTATGTCAGCAATAAATAACCACTTTGGACAAATTCTTACAGAATATATCATTTAAGTTTGGACAATGCAATGTTTCTTTCAAAATTTATATCATTTTCTATTATGTAGTACATATAGATTTTTATAGTTTTGTGACTTGTTGTACTTTTGTGGAATTTATTAAATAAAATATTAAAAAACAATAATTCTCTAATTTTTGTGGAACTTCGGATAATTGGGACAACATGTACTAGTCCCTGTGACATGTATTTTAATTAGTAATTTTTACACAATTTGTTACTTTAAATGAAACATCAAGGAGTTAAAACATTTTTGCTGATAAAATAAATAATTTTGTTGAAAGTTATATACATTTCTTTATTAACATAGATATTAAATTAATTAAAACAACAAAAAATACGTTGAAAAGTTTCATTATGTTTCGTAATTAATCAAAAGCTTAGTAAACTTTCTGCTTAATATCATATTTATTATGTGTAAAGTGTAAAGTTTGAAAAAAAAAATCAAATTTTGTAGAAAAAAAGTTAACTTCTTTCTCACAGAAATTTATTATACGCAG